ATGGTCGTCTTCTCCTGTTACGAGTGTGACTTCTGTCAAGAGTCGCAAATTATGGACTCCCCTACTCCGCATGGAGTGGGATATATTCTCTCTATGCGTGTGGGATCGAGCCATCTTTTAGTTTAGGTATGACTCCAATTTATATCTCGCCTTTGGCCATTTAAGCATGAATTAGTCGAGTGGGCAGTCAACTTCTTCACTCCACTGCTCGCTTCTTTCTTATTTCCTCGTATCATCTACCCGGTGAGATGGATCCTGACGATGTAAACTTTCCATGGTCAATGTATACTCAGGTTACAAACCGGGAATCAGTTTACTGTCGTGCAGCTGCTGCTCAAGCAGGTATTTTCGAGCCTAAAATCCTATAGCCGACGAGATCAAAGGGTTATCCGATGATCAGTTGTTGAGTCGATTCCTATTGGGAAGACAGGGCTTTAAGGATGAGGGGTCTGGTAAGCTAAGGTATCTCCCGAACGCATTCAAGCAAGCTTTTATGCGTCCGGCCCATGATTGGTGTATGGCCGTTTTAAGGCGTATACCCATGGCCTAATAAATAGATAGAAAGCGGAACTTTTAACCAAACTCGGCCTCTTCCATTTGCAACCTTCCGGCCTTTAGGTAAATCTGATAGGTCATAAATATTTGTTTTCCTACGATTTCTCTTCTGCTACTGATATCTTTCCTCTATCGTTCCAGGAGACATTAGTTGAAAGACTAAACAATAAGACTGTTCGCTTTTCTTGGGTCGTTTCGGGGTTAGGCTGCAATGTCTTTCTTGCTCCAACCTCCCAAAAGGGTTCCCCGTTCTTTGTTCCTCTCTCTCTACTTTTTTATATATCTTTCTTGAGGAAGGCTAGGCCTATGTATGGTGGTCCTATACCATTTCTCAATTCTCTGACTCGTGGCTACTTACTTTTTGTTGATTGGACTCCTAGCGTTTTCAGCAGATCACTTGAATTATCATATAGAAGGAACTCCTTCTTCGCAGAGATAGAGCTATGAGTTAGCCGCGGAAGTGAGCCCAAATAGAGAAGGAAAAGCGTAGAATCAGCCCGACTCTTCTACACACCGATTCCTTTCAAGCCAACTACCGGTATTACACCATCGCTTCTATTCGTAGCGAAAAGGCCGTAGGAGAGGATGAATAGCAGATGATTGAGCTACACCCATTTCATAGCCCTCCATTGGGCATTGTCTCATTGATAGCAGAGATAGCCGGCAAAGAAGGACAAAGAAGGAAAGCAGCTTTCAAGGAAGCCTTCCTTTGATTGTGCGTTTACGCTTTGTTTAAGTTTAATGCGCTTTCTAATCCGCTTCTGTAAAGAAAACAGAGAGTCTAAGGCTAACTAACTTACATGATTTCAACTATGCCTGAAAGGTGAACAAGAAGAGTGTTCACTAGTAGCTAGTATTGAAAGAAAAGAAGCCGTTCCTTCGCTGCTTGCTTTGTGCGCTAAGAGCTTTCTTTCCTTGCCAAAGTTAGGATAGGAAGAATTGAATAGGAACATAAAAGGACATTGTTCAGAGTGAAACTGAACCAAACGCCCTCTCTCTGTAGGACTCGCTATCTATGCCACAAGGCTACTTCAAGGCAAGCTGGATCTCCTAGTGAATTCTCATTCGAGAAGTCCCTCTTAGGTATAGACAAGATATGGCAAAGCTAGGGGACTACAATTGAGTATGCCTAATTCCTTCTGTGAAAAGCTTCAAAGTTGTCTGGGTTCAATTGATGCCCTAAGATTGAAGGTTTGACCTCGAAGAACTGTCGCAAGTTGAAAGTTACATCTTTGTGGGTTCGGCCCTAAAGTGTGGATCATCGGGTTGAGTACAAAGCATGTTTCAGACCTTGGGCAGTGACTCATTTTGAGTATAATTGATAAAGTAGGAAGAGTTGCTCTCCCTTGTCTCTCTCCATTGTTGACTCAGCTTGTGCCTCAAGAAGGGTGTCCCGGCTCATAAGAACTGTAATTCGTATGCTTTGGTTTTGGCACCTGCGTCAAAGGCACGAGAAAAGAAAACCTTTTCTCACCTTTCTTACTTAAGATATGAAACCGGTTGTTTCATAGGCCACGTTGGCTAGGTTGATCTTTAATCATCAAATCACGAGTTTCATTCCATTTCCGGATCCCCTCATGAGAGTCTAAAACTTCGCTATCTTATGCCCGAAAAGTGCTCTTCTTGAGCAATCCATTCTATGAGCGGGGCAGCGTCAGGGGCAGCGACCGGCAAGCCTTCGGAAAAGAGGGAGTCCAGATTAGGATTCTCCGCCATCATATTAGAGTAGTCTTCCGCGGACGAGTTTGATGGGCTCGGAAGAGGAAGTGGTTGACCTAGTACACCTAAGACAGCAAAGAACGAGAATAAGTCGGTGAAGACCATACCAAACTTATAAGAAAAGTAAATTATAAGTCTTTTTCCATTTTTCAAATTGAATGTGTAGATACGTACGAAAAATACAAAGCAAAAAAGGACTATGCCCATTATCACAAGATTCATTTATTCGAGAACATCGTCGCAAACAGCCTTACTTAGCCCTAGCTGGATTCGTGCAGCCAGCTGAATAGGCTCTTCTCTTTGCAAGAATTAGCTCTTCGAGAATGCGCGGAGCTTAAAAAAAGAAAGAAAATCTTACTTTTTTGTGGTTTACGAGATCAGGGGAACAGGTTGGAGCCATTATTTTGTGTCAACCTCCATTAGAACAAAGGGAGCAAAAACTACTATACTATCTTTTTGCCCCGTCGCGTAAGTAATTGGGCTTATAAATAAAGTCCTATTATGCTTGCTTCCTTGACCAAGGAGATTTGCATCGCTATTTTCCAAAATGCTTTGCAAGCACTAAGCAAGTCAACTACCTTTTTGCAAAAGATATTTTCAGAAGAAAGATGGGTGGTCAGCGACTGGCTTATATATCAAGACGGCATCAATATGCCTAATGAGGTAAAGGCCACTATTAGTTGACCGCCATGAGCCCTTACCCGATGCGATTTCGGACTGTCTTTCTTCCTTGACTACTTGAAAACTCTCCTGGGATTATTTCAACTCTTGCCGACTCTGAACGAATAGTTAGCGGTGAAGAAGAAAAAAATGAGTTCTTCCTTCTTGGCAGTTAACTCTCCAGGTAGGTGAAAGCTACTCTTCTTATCTTACTTATTTAGCACCTAAGCTCAGCCTTTTTTGGTAAGAATGAATCGAATTGAAGCTATAGCGTCATCGTTTGCCGGAATCGAAATATCAGCGAGATCCGGGTCACAATTTGTATCGATTAAACAAATCGTTGGAATTCCAAAAGTAATACATTCTCGAAGGGCTGTATATTCTTCGTGTTGATCGACGACGATTACAATATCCGGTAATCCTGTCATATATTTGATCCCACCCAGATATGTTTGCAAGTGAGATAATTGTCTCTTCACCACCGCCGCATCTCTCTTTGGGAGACGGACGAGTCTCCCTGCCCTTTGTTCCATTCTCAAGTCCCTAAATTTATGAAGTCTCGTTTCTGTCGTGAACCAATTCGTTAACATACCCCCAAGCCACTTTTTTTTATTAACATAATGACAGCGAGCCCTTATTGCAGCCCGTGCTACTGAATCAGCTGCTTTCTTTTTTGTCTCAACAATTACAAATTTTTTTCCTCTATTAAATAAAAACAAGCATTAAAAACTAAATAACAAGCCTTTGATAGGGATTCTCCTGTCTCTTTGTTATGATTCAACAAGCAAGGGCAGAGCGAAAGCAGTTTCGCGTTAGTCACTAAAGCCGTTTTCTTGCTCCGTAGTGCCCGGAGAACCAGGCTTGCTTAGAAAGCTAGCTTACTAAGGTAATGCCAATTCACTTAGAAGATAGAGTCAGGCAAAAACAGGCTCTTTCTAAGGAGGTGGTTCTAGAAAGAGATCCGAATAGAGGTAGGTGGATAGTGTAGTTTCACTCTCAAAAGGGCGAATAAGGGGCCGTTAACGCGCACATTGATGAAGCCTTTTGAGGGCTATTCGATCGATATCTCATTAAGAAAAAGATGTTCCTGGTGCTGGAAATGCCCTTTTTCAAAAGTGGTTGGTTTGCGGAGGAAAAGGAAGAATTCGATTAGGCAAACCTGAAGCGAGAGAGAGCTTCTCGGTAGAGGTAGTCAAGCTAAGAGCTAGAAAGTAGCAACCCGTAAAAGCTAGCCAAAAGGCATATGAGGGGGGGGGTTGCTCGGCTCCGCTCGGAGAGGGAATCCATTCCAAAACCAAGGTTGGAGGTTAGGCCTAGAGCAACAAAGCAGATGGTTCGACAACGGATGATGAGACAACGGACGACCGACCACTTATTGGGATGTATCCCTCCCCTTTGGTATGTCCTCTTCTGTAAAGGTCAGCGCATGTTTGGTCGTAATCTGTTCGACCAGACCACGTCTTGCAGCTCTTCGAAGTAGGAGTAATCTTATTCCTTCCTTCGGGACCTACCTTGATAATAAAAACCGTGAGGCCTGTGCTCCTAGGTTGGGCTAGCGATTCATGACGAGCGGTCACAGTCATGCGTGACTCTATTTATATAGGAATAAGAGTTATACATATTCGCTTTAATTTATATTTCGGGAGCAGCCGACTGGTAGCTATCGCATGTAGTCGTAGGAATCATTTTAATGACTGAATTAATGCATTCTGCTTTCGGTTACTAAACACTATTTTCTGAATTTGAATTCTTAGTTTTGGAAGAGAATAAGGCTTCGCTTCAAGGCTCCTATTTTGGCTCGCTTCTACAACTTCGCTCGCAGCTTCGTTTGAAGCTCCAATTCAAATTCTTTGTTTGCTATACTCTTTATTCTCCTCATCCTTTTCCCTAACCTGCATGGAAAGGAATTCCTTTCTATGCCCAGCTCTTGCACCCCTACTTCTCCCTTCCTTTTTCCCTTCAACAGCTAACATAAAGATTGGATTCTTACTTAAGTGTAAAATCGTATCAAATAAGCATAAGAAGAGCTCTATTACCTAACCGATTATCTATGCTATTTTCTCTATCTAATCCAAACAGAGAATTCTTCCCTTTTCTCTTCCAACGGTAAAAAACCCTGTACTTGGAACCTCAGAAATAGAAAGAAAAGCCTCAAAATCCGGAGTTTCATACACAGTAACAGGAGCTCCATTAATTATATCTTCAGTAGCTAAAATAGTATTGAAATCCCCCACCCAAGGGGAGAGAGTAACTGCCACATTCAAAAAATCCCTCCATAGAGCTCTCCTAGTCTCAATTGTATGCAGTCCATAAACAACAGTGAGATGAATAGAATTGCTCCTTTGCTTATCAACAACCAAAGAGTGAATGAACTGCTCATTCACTTGTAAGACAGACACATTCACCAACTCATCTATCCACCCTAACCAACCTTTGGAAGAATAGTCATAATTACATTGCCAGTGCCACCTTGTACCAAACTTCTTTTGGATAGCCTGCATCTTTTGAGGTTTTACTTTAGTTTCAAGAATACTGACTATACTAATAGTTTGCTGCTTACACAACCTCTTCACTTCTGCCACTTTATTGGGGTCCCTAATGTGAAAGGATATTCATGTGGGATTATGAGTAACACCAACCTCATCCTCCCCCTCCTCTTCCTCTTCAGTGTCCTACTCAATAAGAGCCATGTAAGAGTTAGCTTGATTCACAGAGACAGACTGAAGTTGCTTCCCCTTATCTCTCACTGGCCTTGATACAGTCCTCCAACCATCTGCTCCCCAGTAACAGTGTTGATAGCAGGAGTGGAAACCACAGCAGGTTCCACTCTTTGTTCAACTGCAGGAGTAGAAGTAGTATCAACAGAGCTCCCCCTAGCATCACCTTCTATAACTGGATCAACATTCTGAACATCATTACCCTTCTCTATATGAGGTTGAACTGCCTTAGGAACCCATTTCCTTTTTCTGCTTCTTTGAACCGGCCTTACAGTTATGATCTACCTTCTTACATGCCTGACAATAAGGAGGGGCCCACTCATAGTGCACTTGCTGTTCAACCACCTTACCATCAGCATCCTGAATGAACACAGATTTTTGCAATTCCTGTGTCACATCAACCTCAATAAGCAACCTTGCAAAAGGCACCCTCATTTGCCTGGAAGTGCATGCATCAGCATACAAAGGCACCCCTACAATACTTCCAATCCTACTTAGGGAATCAGGACTCCAACAATTCAAAAGAAGGTAGGGAATCTAACCCAAAGAGGGACAGTTTTCAAAACCTCAGCATGAAAGTCAAAGCCAGCAGTCCAAGGCTTCACAACAGTAGGTCTCCCAAGATACATATGAGGCCCAGAGCACAGCGTTTTTATCAACTTCACTAGCAACCATCATCATGAAGAAATATATCAGGTTTAGCCACATGATTCCATTGTTCAGCTTATTCAAAGCAGTCAATGTAGGTTGAAAACCAATAAGAATATGATAGCAGAATTCCATTTTTCACTACCTTGAGCAATAAATAAGAGCTAGGTAATACCGGGAGACACAAGGGCTTAGGGCTGCTGAATAATGGCGTTAGACACAGTTAGAAGTGCCGGATCTAAATGAGCAACCGTTTTACCATCAACAATCTTAGCAGCAACAAATCCCAAAGAAACACCCTTAGCAGTCAAACTACCCTTAAACAGATTAGACCAAGCACCAGTACCATTACCTGAGTCCGGTGGCTTATTAGGAGGAATTGACTGATTAATCCCTTCCGTGGGGGGTTGCTGTTGTGCAGAAGCTACTTCAGGTGCAGGAGAAGGCACTGCAATCCTCTGAGGAGTAGCAACTGGAGTCACAGAGACCCTAGGAGCAGGGGTTACTGTTCGATTGGATTTCTCATGAACACCTTGCCATAGCTGTCGAGTTGACTCACGAATCTGATCAAGCTGGGATGCATTTCCACCATTAACATTGCTACTTGAAGGGAGAGGTTATAGAATACGCTCGGAGAGGAGTAGAATTCCTCTTCTTCCTGGCCATGGTGAAGATGAGAGCTGGAGAAGACCACAGCTAACTCAAAATCGCCATGCTAGAGAGAAAGTCAACGAAAGTCAAACCCTGTTTCTCTGAGCTCTCTTACTTGTTATATGTTTTCATTACTCACACCTTTCTCCATAGGCTTTTCCTTTCCAAAAGGTCATTAGAAGCATACACAAAGGAACAGTCAAAGGTCTTTCTCAAAGCCAAATGAGTGACCTTAGTATGAATGACATGCATGTGTCTCACATCCACCTGGAAGCAGTTAGGAAGCCAAACTACCAATTTCAAAATTGAGAAATTTGTAGCTCCCTTGAAAGATGTTATTAGAAACTTCAGGGAACTTATTGACTTTCATTTTTGTCTCAACCATAGATCTCTTTCAGAATGGATCTCCTCATCATGAGAGACCTCTGGAGTTTTGACAGGAACCTCAGGTTGTTTAACCTTGGGTTTCCAGACTTGCTGCTGAGATTGCTTCTTTTTGCATTGCTTCTCAACATGTCCCAACAATCCCCAGGCATTATGGCTTCTACTCATAGACCACTTCTTGTTCCAACATGACACCATTTTCAGACATTTTCCAAACTGTCCCATCTCCATTAATGTTCATTTCGACAAGGAGTAGGAGTAGCGGGCGCCAGCTCCCACTCTGGAATCGCCGGGAAATTGAAGTCCGGCAGTGGGGGGCGGGAGGGCCCTGGTTCACCCTCCGGGTAGCCTCCACAAAAAGTCATGCTAGCTGGACCTACCGCTAGCACTATAAATACGAGTGCTACTAAGAGCACCCAAGCCTTTTCCCACCACCGGCCCTTCATCTTTCTGGATCTGGATTTTATGCGTCGTGGGGAAGCTAGTTCCTATTATAGAAAGGAGCTCTTTCCTTTAATATATATATTAGATAGAAGGGTACCTTTATTCATAATAAATTAAGGAGAAAGAAATACCTAATAAAAGATATAAGAACCCGTGTTAGATCTTCTTTATGTTTTTATGTCTTTTTGAAATTACATAGATGACCACAGAAACACGTCGGGTTTCCCCTGAAGCTGAGATAGGTCTGTAGTGGACAATAAGTCCCGTAGGCTGAGAAATGCGCCAAACCCGGGGGCTTCAGGTTGGTGCGGCAAAGGGCGATTGGAATACGCACGTCACCTCCCATTGATTGGGGGCGATACGAGGCACCACTCTTGTAATGGCCTCCGCCTGATCGCGGTATCCATGTATATCCGAAGGCTGTGGTTGCATTTTGAATCTGGGTAAGTAGGCTAGTTGTAAAGGACTCAATGGGAAACCAAAAAGGCTGACAATCTTTGGTCCTCGAGCGGTTACCGTCTGAGAATGAGACGGGAAACTTGACCTATATGCCCGGAGGAGGAGTGCGTGAATGTGTTCATTTTCTATATGTATATTAGGTTTTTTTCATATAGGAATAAACGTCTTTTGGACCTTAAAAGGCGTAGGGATGGGGCTTACAGGATTCCATTTGCGAAATAGGGCGGGCTAGGCTGTAGAGGACATCTTCTAGTAAGAGTCCGTCTTCCCATGCCTTTCGGAAGTTCTTTTTCCGTCAGTGTGAAAGTTAGAGGTAGGAGGGAGCTATAAAGGCTTGACTGTCCTGAGTTCTTGTCCCTCATTCGGGAAGATAGAATCTTCCGGGTACTCATTCTGTAGTTGAGAGTTTACACGAGTTGAAAGGAAATCTCCTCATAAGGAAGGAAGTCTTTTCTTACTATTAGTTCTTACAGACAGGTTAAAGACAAAGAAGAACACGCACGCCTGCTGAAAGAACTAGTCTGTCTTTAAGACTGCCTTACGGTAGGGTGAAGTTCCTATCTATCGGGCTATGAAAAGCATCTGTGCTAGTGCTGTACTGGTATGAAAGTAGCCTCCTCTAGTGCTTTAAGGAACTATGGGTACAGTCGGAATACTCCTATTAGTGGTTGAAGCAAGGCCAGTTTGACGGCAGGCAGAAGAAAAGCCCTAACACATTAAGCACACTCTTATCCGCTTTGTTTTGTGCAATTGAAGACGAATCGCTTACTCCTTTTGTTGAATGAAAGTTGATTGATCTTTCATTCTTTCTTCGAAGTGAGGCCTCTTTTCTTCGAGTACTTTCTTATATCACTATAAGCAAATAGAAATGAACTGATGTTTGGGGATCTAATATTCTTTTTACAAGCGTAAATCTAAAGATCAGGGTACAATGCTATCTACCCGCTAGGGGACACCAAAGAAGTCGCTGCAATGCCCCTAACTCCTTTAACGGCGCACAAGCAAGCTTTAAAGAAAAAGACGAAGCTTGCCTTTCTTACAAGTGTAAACACCATAAGGGAGAAATGCTACTTACCCAGCCCAAGTACGTAGCGAGTAACCCCTAATGCAGTAAAGTAATGAGTTCGGAACAAAATCTACTATTTCAAATCTAAATGTGGTTGGGCTTTAGGGCTAAAGCTATGCTTTTGGAAAGGAAGTTTTTTAAGGCAAAGCGGGAATCATTAAATCGATTTCCGAAGCCCCCGAAATATAGCATTTGAGAACGCGTTAATACGACAAGATGAGATAATGGAGAAAATGGCGAACATTATATTATAAAGGTGAAAGGGATCCACTCGGGATAAAAAGGGGGGTGAACCCCTTTCTCCTTCTCCATGACATAATGCAAATGGAGTCGAGGACGCGTAGCACCCAGCTACGAAAAATTCTGACAAGTCTTTCTGTTATTTATGCTGAATTGCTCGCGAAAATCAACTCGTTTCGAGGACAGTAGATTATTGATTTTATCGGAAGAAAAGAAAAAAACAGTGTTAAGCCGCCGCCTATTCCTATTCCCGAGGGGCAAGCCTGCCTAAACTCGGAACACAGATCGCCCTGGCTGTGTTAATCGCAGAGGTAGAATAGTGGCAAGCTGTTATCGATGTCGAAAGAGACTCGAAACTTTGAACCTCGCGTCGAGTCAGATCCATTACCGCTCCTCTGCTATTAGGCGTCGTTCGGTGCCGGTCGGATAGAACTTTCGTAGGGCTGACTGTCCTTCAGCAGGCAGCTACTAGCGCGTTGGAGACGGATTTATATAAGAAAGAAATTTCCGTCATATCCAGTACCATCAATACCGGCAGAGGAAGGAGAGGTACTATCTCCCACCTGAACCTGACTCACGGTCGCTCCACGGGAAACCACCACTAGGAGACGAAGCAAGCCGAGGGTTTCGAGGCAGATAGCGCCATGACACGGTAGTAGGGAACCCGGGCCTTTTAAGCAGCACTAGAGAGGGGATAGAGACTCGAGACTGAAAACTAATGTCCTTCTTCCTCTGAGCCAGGTTCCTTGTAGAGTCTATCTACTAGAGACATTACGGTTGGGAAAATGAAATACTAGAATTGAACGCCCTCCATCGTACAGTTCGGCGGACACGGAAGAGCTAGTTCATAGGGCGCGTGCAGTCATGGGACCGACGGTGAAAAGCTCGGGATGATGATGGGGCTAGCAACCGGTCCTCCAAGAAGCTAGATCTCTTTCCGGAATTCTTTCCTTGTATCCAAGTCATACTCATTCCGTACGACGAAGGATTGGGCCTTCGAGGTTGGAACTCATCACATTACTGGGTAGATCAGTTGGGAGATAAGGGTTCTAGTTCAATAAAGATGCTTCTCATTATATCGAATAATAAGTTAGGCCTGTAGTGCTCCAGCGATGGGGATTAGGACTTGTGTTAGATAGAATAGGAGTTAGCTTCCTCGGAGTCAGGTAATAGAATCAGGTTCGAAGACTTAGACGTTAGTCTAAGTGGCGACAGAGCTGAATAATGCCCGTAGGGCTCAGTGTCTTTAGACTCAAATAGCGCAGAGTATCTGCGCAGGCTCTTTAGAGACAAGTCTAGTATAGACGCAGGGTAAATTAAAGAAAACTTGTGTTCTATTTATTTTCTGTTTCATCGTTCACTTTCAATCCCTTTTTGCCTACCTCTGCTGCTTTACATTGCTGCCTGATAGAATGGTATTTTACTAGTAAGTGAGAGAAAGCGCATTCCATTCCCGTCTAATTAGAAATGCTATTAAGGCACATGGTGGATGCGGATGCTTCTGTTGATGGCACTAAGCAGATTGGCGAATCTTTCTCTTTAGGCTCAGCAGGATTATCAGGCACTCTAAGAAAAAAAACTAGCGTTGAAGAGGTTTTCGGAGGCTGACAAAGTGACGTCGACCAACGTCTCTGTGAGTAAAGATAGAGAATGGATAGGAAAAGGTCCTTCAACGAAAGAGATCTCCAAGGCTTTCGCTTCTGCTAAGTTTGCTCGCTCCTCTTCGGTCCAAGCTTCGTGTAGTTCCTCCCCTTCAGCTTGAGGGAGCTGTTAGACAATATATATCTTTGTCATACACCGATCTATAAAGATAGAAGCAAGCCTAGTTAGGCTTGATGTGCCTAATATTATTATATCACTATACCGGCGATGGAATATTTTTGTATCTCAA